CCTTATGATACAAAGATTTGCTGTTCTCTTTCCCATTGTTTTCTGTCTGTCTTTGATTGTGTGATGGAGACTCTGAATCAGCATCTCAGCCACGCAGTAGCTTTGTTTGAATCTTTGAACAAGGAACTGAGGCTCTTGTCTGGTCTTTTGCTTCTATCCTTTTCCTCTTGTTAGTTATGAAACATTTGTATGCCGCCATCGCTGCTGTTGCTGCTGTAACTGGCCTGGTTAGTAGCAGAGAGTCTGTCTCTCCAAGCTGACCTTATGGTTAAAAAAGTCAATAAATAACATTAGTTTCCTTTACATTTGTGTCGTTGTGGGCTCGGAGATTCTTGGAAGGAATTTGATTTGATATTGAATTTAGGGTTTACTCAAAAGTGAACATTGTCTTTTTTTAATTGCCATCTGCTTGTTCCAAACCTGTTTGAGCTTCTTCATTCTGTCAAACACATACAAAAAAAAAAGATGGTTTAAATTTTTTTGCCACCAAAAGAGTTGAGAGTAACCATTCACTTCCATATATGAGGAACTCATACTGATTTGGAACAACTTAAGGGTGGGTAAACAATGAGTTATGTGCTATTTTGGGAAAAACTTTAATGTAAGCGTTTTTTTTTTTTTTTTTTTTTTTTTTTTTTTTTTTTTAATTTCATAACAAAAACACTAAAATAAAGAAAATGAATGTTTCAACTGTAAAAATGCATCATTATTTCTCACAAACGTCCACACCATTGCTTTCAAAATGATTTAAAATTCACAGTTAAAACACAATACTAAAATGGTGATATTTCTGTTTTGTTGCATTCTATTAAAAACAAACTGATTTTATTTGGCGTTTAAACCAACCAAACATTTAGGCTAAGAGGGATAGTTAAAGTTTAACATTTTTGAGAAGTTAATGTTTTGTATTTTTATATTAATATGTAGTTAAATGTTTTAAATATTTTTACCAAAAGTGCCCCTAGATCCACAAATAAACATTAGTTGTAGAGATAATTTGACATTATTAAACTGTCATAAATGTTTTCATTCATTCATTATCCTTCAGCATAGTCTCTATTTCTGAGGTCGCCACAGTTAAATGAACTGCCAGCTATTTCAGCATATGTTTTACACAGTGGATGCCCTTTAGCTGCAACTCAGTACGGTGAAAAAAACATCCATACACACTCATTCTCACACACACACTCATGCATACGGCCAATTTAGTTTATTCAATTCACCTACAGCACATGTTTTTGGAATGTGAGGGAAACCATACCAACACAGGGAGAACAGGCAAACTCCACACAGAAACAGGATTTGAACCAGTGACCTTCTTGCTGTGAGGCAACAGTGCTAACCACTGAGCCACCATGCTACCATTAATGTTCTTGTTTCTGAAAAATAATAGAAGGTTTATCTTGGAGACGCAAAGTGTACCTCCAATCAACAAATCATCCTGCTTTCTGCATTTGATGATTAAATGCTGCATGAAATTGATAGTTCTTTTTTTATCCATTTCTCTGCTCCACATTCTGAGAATATTCACAAGCACCAAATGATTTTACTATTTGTTAACTGGGTCACCAGGAAGCTAACAAACAACCGACACACATTTTTTGGTACTTCAAAAGCAAAAGATGAAGCTGCAAGCATCCATTTATATAATCTTTTGCAAAGTGACTGCTGCTTGAGGAAACTCAACATTTCTTGGAACATTATCAACATTTTCTTGACATTATTTTTATGCTTAAATAAACATTAGTGAAATGCTGCTGTGTAAGTTTCATAAATGAAATTATAAAAAGGAAACATATCAACAATCACATCCACACACACACACAAATTGCTGCTTGTTCAAATGACTAATTTAACCATTTATCTACCCCACCAAGAAAACAAATGTTTGGATTGCATTTCCTAACTCCTAATGTCGCTAGTTAACAGTCAATGCAGTTTTTTTCTTTTTTTTTTTTTCAGCACAACCCTTAATTTGTAAGAAATCAGCCTCTACCAAATAGTTGATATGTCGGTTTATGGTAAAGATACCGGATTTAATACATATACTATAAAAAATATGAAGTGTACGACAAATTTATTTTAATTTTTTTAAATCTAAATAAAACATTTCTAAATACTAAGTCATCTTTATTTTTTTAAAGTATGCCATAAAATATTTCAGATTCTCATTTAACATGCTTTTTTTTTTTGTTTGTTTGTTCAACCCAAATCAAATGTAGTAGTGCAACACAATTATGTTTGTTTGATTTTTTTTTTTTTGTAAACCAACATTGCTGTGTGTAAACCATTATTTAAAACAGTTATTCTCTAAATACCTTTAACAGTCGTTACTTAAAACAGTAAAAACATGGTCAACTATTTGGTAGAGGAGCAGTCAAGGGGTTAAAATGAGCTGTAAAAACACAATTATTTGCATTTTTTAGAGACAACTTAATTGCTTTATGAAAGTCCTCATAAATTTGTAACTTAATCGATTTGTTTTTGGACAACATGACTGAATTGTGTGTGGCATTTTTTTACAGTGTGGGTTATTTATAATTCCACTCGCACACACATTTGGATCTTTTATTTCTTCTCTTTTTTTCGGCTTACTCCATCAGGGGTGTATGTATGTATATAAATGAGAGTCTATGTATGTTTCCAGTGATGGGTTGCAGCTGGAAGGGCATTCGCTGTGTAAAACATATGCTGGATAAGTTGGCGGTTCATTCCACTGTGGCGAGCAACCCCAGATTAACAAAAGGACTAAGCTGGAAAGAAAATGAATGAATAAATAATATGAATTTCTGCATTTAGGCTGTATCTCAGAATTTTCATTTATTTGGGTAATTCTGAGTTTATTTCATGCTTTTCTGGTGTTTTGTTCTGTAGAATTCTGTTTATACCTTATTTCTATGATTTTTTTAGAATTCTGACTTTGAGTTTACATCTCATATTTCGAACTTTTTCAGAATCCTGAGTTTACAACTTGTATTTTTTTTTTTTAGAATACTCCGATTATATATCTCATAATTGTGATTGGGTTTTTTGTTGTTGCTGTTGTTGTTTTTGTTGTTTTCAGAATTCAGAGTTTACATCTCATATTTCTAACTTTATTCAAAATTCAGAGTTTACATTTTAGAGTTCATCATGAGTTATGTCCAGTATCTTAACACGTCATATTGTATACTCCAAAAATTACATTTGCTGTTTGTTCAAACTATTTTAAATAAGCTTAAAACAAATCAATTCTTGAGGGTTTTTTGTTTAATCCACTTAAATATGTTGCCCCAACACAAATCGATTGTGTGGAACCCAGCAGTTTCTTACAGTGTAATTTTAATCTTATTTTATCATTCATTTTCCTTTCAGCTCAGTCCCTTTAATAATCCGGGGTAGCCACAGCGGAATAAACCACCAACTTATCCAGCATATGTTGTACGCAGCTGATGCCCTTCCAGCTGTTACCCATCTCTGGGAAGCATCCGGATCCATACACACTCATTCACACTCATACACTATGATCAATTTAGCCTACCCAATTCACCTGTACCGCATGTCTTTGGACTGTGGGGGAAACAGGAGCACCTGGAGGAAACCCACGCAAACGCAGGGAGAACATGCAAACTCCATACAGAAACGCCAACTGACCCAGCCGAGGCTCGAACAGGCAACCTTCTTGCTGTGAGGCGACAGCACTACTGTACCTACTGCGCCACTGCATCGCCCAATTTATATTATCATTTAATCATTTTTCAATTTAATCTGAGTCCTTTAATTCATGACAATTTTCTGACATTTGTTTCTCTCCAAATCATGAAGAGAAGATTATTTCTAAACTAATTTCGAGAGGATCACATGCTTATTATTGACCATGGCTGGTCTCACATTAGAGAACATGATTCACCAATGGAAAGATTCCTAACTCACCATAACCAGAGTTTCTTACCTCAGTATCTTTCCCCTTTTCAGCCCAACTCCTCCTCCGTTTTTCCCTGAAAGGGTGGAACGGTGGGCGGCCCAGTGGTTAACAAAGACATGCAACACAAGTTAATTGACTGAACCAAATTGGCACCAGAGATGACCTCATAGTCAGCAGTATCTCTCCATATAAATCCCTAACTTGTCATTACCCATAAATAAGCAGTTCTTGAGACCTACCTGAGCTCAAACTCCCCTTTCACTATGCAAACGGAAGGGAGCCCCGGGCTCGAGGATCTTATGAATTTAGGGCTCTCTCCTGGGACTGCATGCCAAACTCACTTTATAATCAATCATCAGCTAAGTGCTAACTCTTGAAATTTAAACTTAAGTTCGAACATTAAATTTATATATAAATTAACAATTTAATTTCTCAAGCTTCGGAGTTTCGAGACTTTTTGCAATTCTAACCTCATTTCTCACAATTTTCAGTCTGTATCCCACAGAATTTTTTTCTCAATACTGCAATACAAAACTTCACAACTGAAAGAAGAAACATTGCAATATTTAGATAAAAGCAACAACCCAGCAAACATTTTTTGTTTTTTAAAAGATTTCTAATAGACATCTAAACATAGTCGTCTTGGTTTAAACAAGGTCAATGAAAATCTAGATGTCTAATAGGCCAAAACTAGACTAGTCATCAAATAAACAGAAATGAATGACTACATATAAAGTCTGTCTAATCAGACTATTTGATGATTAGTCTAGTTTTGGGCTGTTCTTAGATATAGATTTTCACTGACAGCCCAAGTTTAGCCTTGTTTTAGCCAAGCTGTCTACGTTTAGATGTCTATTAAACACAAAATGTATGCTGGGAAGTCTCCATGTCTGCTCGTGTATTTGAGAATGTGTGTGTTAATTACTTAGCCTAGTGTTTGTCTGTCGCCGGTTGCCCTCCTGTGGAGAGATTATTACTGTATTTAATTTCAGAGATGCAGAAGGGTCCGCGTAAGAATGATTAAGTGAGTGTAAAGTAAGCTGGGCTTTGCTATATATGTGTCTCTGTCATCCTGGACTTCACTGTGCTGGTGAAGATGGGACAAACTGCAACTTTGCCCTGCAGAAAAGGTGGAACGTACGTCATCGAGCTTTATGAATGGTTCAGGTAAGTCTGCAAACTAGAGTGATTGAAGCTGCGCTTTAGAAAACAATGGTACGTCATGTAATAGACCACACGATTATGGATTATGGATGATCTTTATTATTGGAAAGTCATTACGTACAGCTGTAAAATGGGTCAAGAACGGGTCATGCCGTTCTGAAGAGTTTTATTGTAGGCCATAAAATGCCAACCGTGACTGTATAACCATATAAACTCCATCTCTGAATAAGTAGGTCATCTGCTTATTTTCTGTCTTTGTTTATTTTGGTGACCTTTACTGTAGCCAGTTTTATTTTTATTCCTGGAATATTTACTGAAGTATGTGATAACTGTTTTAATTTTTTTTAATATTTTGTAATAGCTAGAAATAATTTTATAATGATGACAGAGCAAAACAAGTCCGAAATAAATGCAATATTATACAAATATTCTTTTTCAGAACAAATTTTTTTAAATTAATTTTTTTTCCATAAAACAAGAATAATTCTTATGATTATTACTATATTAAACATATTTTTAATATTAGTTATTTGTTAATAAACAAAATTTTTGTTACTTGTGACATTCTAAACTAAAATGTATAAATAACATTTCAATATTGGTAAAATTTAAAATAGTGTCTAAATTACTTTTATATTACATTATATGTGTTACATTATAGTAAAACAACACTAAATATGATATCAAGTGTATTGTTTTACTTTAGCAAATATCTAACTAAAAACTAATGTTAATTTAATACATTAGGTAAATATATTACTTATCAGTAAATTAATATTGCAGTAGTTTTAACTATTGTCAAACTTTTTGTCTGTCTTTTTCTGTGTGTGTCAGGAAGTTTCTGAATGAGTGTCCAAGTGGCCTGATCACCCTGCATGAGTTCAGACGGCACTTCTGCAATGGGACGGTAGGGAAGGAATCAGCAGAGTATGCAGAGCAGATCTTTCGAACACTCGATAACAATGGGGTATTTATTATACACATCATACATCTCATGTTTTATCATTGCATTTGCTAGACACTGAGACTGGTTAAAGAAGGAACAGAATAGAGTCATCAAGATCTGTACTCTCTTGAAAAAATACAAATATTCTTAATACTTTTTCCATTAGTTATTATAGGTCTACATTATCTATATCACACTCAATTTCTAGACATTTTTTAAAATTATTTTCTATAACCTAAAAGTAAATGAATCAGGGTTAATTAAATATTTATAAACTATTAAAGCCGTTTTACTACATGACAATACATTTAAGCCATGAAAATAAAATAACAAACTACACTAAAAAATACTGGGTTCCACAATTCCTTCATGTTGTCCCAACACAAATCGGTTAAGTTAACTTAATAGTTATTTACAAATTTAAGTGGATTAAACATGAAAAACAATTAGGTTCTTCCCCAAAAAACTTAAGAATTGTGTTGCTTTGTTGAAGTTAACTTAATTGTTTTTACAAATTTAAGTGAACGGAACATAGAAAGTGCACAGTATACAGCTGTTATGAATTTAGAATACTTTGTGATGCTGCGATTAAATAAAGATTGTGTTGGTTCAACTCATAATAAATAAGTTGTTTAAAAAGCACAAGTAATTTTTGAGCGTAATTGTCGTAATGTAATAGTGTCTATTTTTCATTTAGTTTAACTCAAAAACTCACAAAAAATGTAGATACTAAAAAGTATTTAAATCAAATTTAATAACAATATATTTTTGAGAAAAACAAAAACAGCAAATCACTGTAATGAAAATATATATTTTAATATTTATTATCTATACTTTTTATTTATAACACATTATGTACATTACTATATTGTTAAAACCTCTGTCATATATTAGTATAATATGTGGCCTATGATTATATCTGAAACCTCTATAAAATGTCAAAATTTTATATAAGAAATATTTCATGACACACTGTCTTTGAGTAATTACAATTTATACAAAATAATTAAATCTAAAGCAGTTTGTACTGCACTGAATATACACTGTTTTTATAAAATTTTTATAGTTTTATTTAATTTTTTGTTGATGTCACTGTAAATCAACCTTAGTGTTGATTAGTGTCAAGCCTATCTTAAGCTCTTTTAGCTAAATAAAAAGGGTAAACATGACTGTTACACGTACATTTGATTCTTACGTGGTTAAATTGCTAAAATTATTTATAAATCAATGTTTGCGATATGAACACTGACAGGATGGAGTTGTGGACTTCAGAGAATATGTGACCGCCATCAGCATGTTGATTGAGGGCTCGACGGTGGAAAAACTGCGCTGGTCCTTCAAACTTTACGACAAAGACAAAGACGGAGCCATTACACGATCAGAGATGCTGGAAATCATGCAGGTAAGCGACTTGAATGCCTCCATTGCTTTACTTCGATTCTATCTCGTTTTTATGTGGAGTTTTTTTGCTTCGCTGCGGGCTGCTCCGCAAGAGGGCGACATAAACCACAGTTTAATCTGATCTCAGGCGGTGTACAAGATGAGTGTTGCAGCATCACTCACCAAACCTGATCCCCTGACCGCTGAAGAGTGTACCAACAGGATTTTTGTACGACTGGACAAAGATAACAATGGTAACATGCTGTCATTTTGCTAAAAATAGAAGTATTATTTAAATTTTCATGTAGTGGCACTAGCATGAACTTGAATTCAGTCTATGGCGAAGTGTTTTAATAAGTAACCAACACACTATGTTAATATTGTCTAGCTGTTTTCTTCACATACTGTATATAAATCTATGCAACATATTTAAAAAGAAATTGTTATTATATCCTCCAGAGACCCAAAGACATATTTTTTGTTTAATTTTTTCTGTGATTTCCTACATCCTTTGGGTTAAAAAAAATCTACTATTTAGAGTTTTTACATTTTGTTTTTATTTTTAATTTTACAGCATGTCCACTGTAGTGGTCCACACGACAATTTTTGTTTGAAACAACCACCACTCAGACAACAAAACTGTACAGGATATGGCTGTAAAGGGATATTAAGCCAATATTAATGTAACAAAAACCAAAACAAAAGCCATTTTTTTCTTTTGTATTGAAATTCCTGAAACAGTTTAGTCTAAAAGAGAGCCGAACTCAAAAAAAAAGAAAGTGATGTTAATCCAATACAATTTTAACATAAAAGCAGTTTAAAACTGATTGTCATTCTCTAATTGTTTCTATTTCTCTAATTGTCCGATTGTCAGACTCTAAATCAGAGTCTCCCTCAACTATTTTATAAGGAATTCTCTCTGCTTCAGTTCTGCCCCTACAACACACAGTCATTAATTACATTAAGATGTTCCTGGTGTCCACTATAAAGTGGACATTTAAAAAAAAAATTATATTTAGAAATACAAACAATTGAACAGCTTTAAAAGCTATATGTATTGTTCCTGACACTTTAATAAACAAATAAATATGTAATAATAATATTAGAAAAACATTTAAAAAGGTAAATTTTACATAACCCCTTTCCATCCCATAAAATGTGCTATTTTGTATGTCGGCCATTTTGGATGCGGTGTAAGAAGTGGTTTCTAGCATGCCAGCCAATCAAATGACACATCACTAGAAAGCCCAGGATGTCATCTGAACAGTACAACAGGACTTGACAGAGTAGATCAAAACATTCAAAGAAAATTTATGAAAACGCAATGTCCACTACAGAGGACACAAGAATATGGGCGAGGTCTCAGGAGAATATATATTAAAGAATAAGATCATTTACATATTTTTTTAATCACAAGAATTACAAATATGTACACACAGTTAAAGTTAAAATTATCAGCCATCCTGTGATTTTTATTTTTCTTAATTTTCTTTTCAAATATTTCCTTACAGACCAAAGGCATGCACTATATGTAAATTGGATGAGTGAATGAGTGTTTATGGGTGTTTCCCAATACTGGGTTGCATCTGGAAGGGCATCTGCTGTGTAAAACATATGCTGCAATATTTTCCAGGTCATTCCGATGTGGCAACCTCTGAAATAGTCTCTGTGGTGTAATAATTCAGAGGGCTAATAATTCTGACTTCAACTGTATATCTTTAAATTTTGCTGTTATTTCATAGTTCATTTATAGCCATATATCAGATTTCCATATAGGCTATAGGGTGGTTGCACTTCATTGCATTTAATTAGCAAGTACTTACAAAGTAAATGCAGGGAAAGTTTTAGTTATTAATAATAAATTTATGTAAATGCCTAGTACATGTGAAACATTTCTGTTAACCAAAGTGCTACCACTATTCTGCTTAATCCTTGGGTATTAATAGCTTTTGCTTGTCATTAATAGATACTGGTATTTATTCATTAGTGACTATGATATACACCAACTACTAGTACTTGTTCTTTAGATAGACTATAATCTTTGTTTATATGATGTTACTTATTCATTAGATACTGGTACTTATTAGATATGTTTATGTACATTTTTATATAAGTTACAGTGGTAGAGAGAGCTCAGATGTGCTACAATGTAAAAAAACATTAAAACATTAAATAAACAAAAACAAACTGAAAAATATTATGATTCATAAATGTGAGAGCACATGTAGACACAAATTATAAGAATGTGAAAATAAAGAAACACACTACAAATGATGCAAAGGAATATGTTGAAGGATCACCAAAAAATGAAGAACTCGACTGCTTTCTGTTTATGGTCAGCATTGTTGACTGCGATCTGAGCTTGTTATTTGTCTATTTAAATGTTCTGATTTTATGGTTCCTTGTTGTTTATTTATTTTAGCCCGAATGTAAAATGAAATATTTTTAAAAAGAGTTAATTCACCCCTCAGATCTCCGCAGCACTGTAGACTCCAAACAGGATGCAGCTTTAGTCATCAATTTTTGGGTTTCCTCAACAGATTTTTGTTGTGGTCTGCAATATTTTTAGCGTGTTTCTGTATTTGCATGAGTTCTAGAATCTGTATGCATGTTGGTTGTCAAATTCAGGAAGACATTTTTTTTTCATTTTTAATGATTGGCTCTCTTGGCCACTAGCAGTACATCTAATGAGTAAATGCTTTATCTTAAAAGAAATAGCTAGTATTAAAAAAAAAAAAACACTAGTACATCTCATAGATGAATTGTTAAAGCTTGCTGTACGAGTGTGCTCATGTCATTGTTTTTTTCTGTCTCTATAGCCATCATCAGTCAAGATGAGTTCATTGAAGGCGCACTGAATGACGAATGGATCAGAGAGATGCTGGAGTGTGATCCCAACACAGTGAAGATGGAGAGATCTCTTAAAGGCCACACAGTGCTGTAAAGCTGTGTGTCTGTCACACATTCTGCATGAATGAGGCCATGGCTGATGGCGCAGCATTGATTGTTGATGGCACTGTTACGCCTTCAAGATGAGAAGTTCAAGCATTATAGACCTAGTATATTTCAGTTGAGTTATAAACGTGGACTGTATAAACTGACACAATCAAATGACATTCTGCTTCTGATATTGTGATACATGTGTATTCATAGATATTTGATTTTCAGTATTTAAATTTAAATGTTGTGTTTTTTTTTGTTTTTTTTTTTATTGTGTGTGTGGTTTAAAAAAATCTACAGGTCATAAATATTCTTTGTTATCATTAATCTAAATGTGCATTGTTTCCTAAATTATATCCTCTTCTCCTACTTCTTAGTCATTCATTCATTCATTTTCTTTTCAGCTTAGTCCCTTTATTAATCTGGGGTCACCACAGCGGAATGAACCGCCAACTTATCCAGGAAAATGTTATACACAGTAGATGCCCTTCCAGCTGCGACCCATCACTGGGAAACATCCAAACACTCATTCACACACATACACTTCAGACAATTTGGCTTACGCAATTCACCTATACCACATGTTTTTGGACTTGTGGGGGAAACCGGAGCACCCAAAGGAAACCCACTCAAACATGAGGAGAACATGCAAACTCCACACAGAAATGCCAACTGACCCAGCCAGGCCAACTGACCCAGCTCGAACCAGTGACGTTTTTGCTGTCAGGCAATTGTGCTACCCACAGCGCCACCGTGCTGCCTCCTTCTTATTATTCATTCATTCATTCATTTTCTTTTTGGCTTAGTCTCTTTATTAGTCTAGGGTCGCCACAGCAGAATGAACCGCCAACTTATCCAGCACATGTTTTATGAAGTGGATGCCCTCCCAGCTGCAACCCATCTCTGGGGAACATCCATATACACACTCATTCACACTCATGAACTACGGCCAATTTAGCCTACCCAATTTACCTGTACCGCATGTCTTTGGACCGTTGGGGAAACCGGAGGAAACCCATGCGAACGCTGGGGGAACATGCAAACTCCACACAGAAACGCCAACTGACCCAGCCGAGGTTCGAACTAGCGACCTTCTTGCTGTGAACTATACTAATGTATACTAATAATAACAACAATAATATGTTGTTGTTGTTATTAACAACAGTACAGTGTTTTTTAAACCATGACATCACTTTAGCCACTTTTTTTCAAAAATGCTTCTTTATTGTTATTAAAAATTTGGTACAATGTTATAAACAACTCAAAAAGTTCACATTGTTGCAAATCAGTTAACGTTTCTATAAGTTTGCATTATTATTTGCAACGTGTGCAATAATATCAAATGATGTTTCTCATTTTTTTGATTGTTAAAAACAATTATTTAGGTTTATTGGTCAACTAGTGAGTGACATTAATATAATCAATAAGGTCAAATTTTTAATATTATTATTTGCTTCACATTTTTGGTGAATTGCATGTTGTAATTGTGCATTGTATTTCAGGGGCAGCATGGTGTCTCAGTGGTTAGCACTGTCAACTCACAGCAAAAAGGTCGCTGGTTCGAGTCCCAGCTGGTCCAGTTAGCGTATATGTGTGGAGTTTGCACATTCTCCTCGTGTTTGCGTAGATTTCCTCCGGGTGCTCCAATTTCCCTCACAGTCCAAACACATGCGCTATATTGCAGGTGAATTAAATAAACTAAATTGGCTGTGTGTGTGTGTGTGTGTGTGTGTGTGTGTGTGTGTGTGTGTGTGTGAGTGTGAGTGTGAGTGTGAGTGTGAGTGTGAGTGTGTGTGTGTGTGAGTGTGTGTGAGTGTGTGTGAGTGTGTGTGAGTGTGTGTGAATGTGTATGCATGTTTTCCCAGTACTGGGCTGGAATTGCATCCGCTGTGTAAAATATTTGCTGGAAGAGTTGGTGGTTCAAACCGCTGGGGCGACCCCTGATAAATAAAGGGACTAAGCTTAAGGAATATGAAGGAATGTTGGTTTCATTGTATTGCTCATGTATTTAGTTCAATTTAACCCTCACACAAAACTGCATTAGTAGATTCATATACGTATTAGACTTTTAAACTGGCCAACGGTTGGTTTTTGACACATTGCACTATTTAAAGGGTTAGTTTTGAATGTTAATTTTTGACAACTGGGATGATTTATTACTCATCTGAAAGCCCAGTAAATACCCTTTCCATCGATGTATGATTTGTTAGGAGAATATTTGACTGGTATAAAACTGTTTGAAAGTCTGAAATCTGAGAAAATCACATTTAAATTTGTCCAAATTGAGTCTTTATACACATTATTAATGATTTTTTTTTTTTTACATATTTACAGTAGGTACTTCAAAAAATGAGACACCATGGTGGCACCTCACAGCAAGAAGGTCAATGGTTCGAGTCCCTGCTGGACCAGGTGGCATTTCTGTGTGGAGTTTGCATGTTCTCCCCATATTTCAGTTTCCCCCACAGTCTAAAGACATCGGTATAAGTGAACTAGGTAAACAAAATTGGCCGTACTGTATGAGAGTGTGTGAATGCAAGAGTTTATGGGTGTTTCCCAGTACTGGGTTGTGGCTGGAAAAGCATCAACTGTGTAAAATATATGCATAAATAGTTGGCGGTTGATTCTGCTGAAAGAAAATGAGTGAATGAGATTACAAATTATCATTGAACATTTTTGGAAGTATCAATAATTCTGACCTAAGTTACAGGCTACAATATGTTTTTGCCAATTTCCACAAATATACCCCTGCAACTGTCATCCAAAGACACATATAGCCTACTTTAATTTTGTTAATAGTGTTACTATGGTAAAGGCTCATTTTGTAAATATTAATTAGGTTGCTGTGACGCAATTTCGTAGCCTTTCCATGGCAAAGATCTTGTATTGAATATTAAATGAGTTTTTCCATAACCATCCAATGGCGAGGACACGGCTTTTGAATATTAAGTAGGAAGCCTTCGCCGTAGTAGGATATTCCCAGCCTGTGACGTCCCACATTCCCACTTTCATTGTCGACATGGCGCTGGCGAGGTGGGAACACCAACTACGGAAAGAGCAAACCTCGTAAAGAGATTGAAAGTTTACGGATTTATTTTTCCATACTTTTGACGGCGGTCCAGATTTGGTGAGTAATCTCAGTATAAATAACTTTTCAGAGTAACTGATAAATATTTTGCTCTTTGAGAATTTACTTCGCTTTCAAACTTGCTCGAGAGGGGAAACTTTCTCGTAATTTATTAAAAAATTTTTACCTAAAAACATACCCCACAGAAAGTTTTTTTAAAGTACAGTTGTGCGTAACGTTAGTTATGGAGCATATTTTATTATCGTCACTTTACAACTAGAAGATAATATTTTCATAGCCCAAGGGATCGGTTACTAGCAGCATTTGCATGTCTCTGAGGTGACTTAATATTCATACACAACGATGTTTCGAGATGTGATGTATTTCAAAACAAGTACATAGTATATCATTAGCCATTTTAACAATGAATTGATGTATTTGAAAGCAGAGCAGTGTGTAGTTTAGACACAGCTGTGTTTGTAAAGAAGTGATTCACACATTCCACGTCGCCACAGAAGAACAAGAGCTGCTCTTACATGACTTTCTTTCCTTTCCTTCATCCACACCTGTGATTTGGACTGAGACTAAGATTACAGGACTTCTTTATTACTATCAGGATCTTCAGACGCAAATTTGGTTTGTCAGCCTCCATTAACATAAAAAGCTTGAATGATTTTTGATGGGAACAAGTAGACCAGGGTAAGTTGTCACACTGAACATTGTAAGGGATATTTATCAGTAACTGTTTATGAATTAAGTTAGTAATTGACAGACAAATTATGTTGTGTTTTCTTTCACAGGTTAGGATTTTTTAAAACACTTAAATACACTCCACCAACAATACAGTTACAATAATAATATCATTTTTTTAATTAGCCAAATAAAATTATGGGTTCCTAGTTTTTGAATCAAAGTTTGAACTGCATTCAACGATTAGTTTTTTGTTGACACTAACACGGTTTCTGTACCTTTTGTTTATTGAAATAAAATGGATGTTAGCTGAAATAAAGATAAACGAATAAAAAATGCTGCTAATTGACGGCATCCCGGCAGACACAGGATGTCAGCATGATGTCAGATTGACGTTGTACCCCAACATCATGGGAACGTTGCATTTTCTTTGGAAATTAAAATTGGGTTTGTCAGAATCCAACATCAGGCCTACATCAATGTCCAACCTAAAATCAATCAAATATCAACATCTAATTATGTTACTGCTTGATTTTGTGTGGATGTTACCACTATAATGTCTATCAAATCTTAAATTTTGGTTGCCATACCTGACGAATAAATGTCAGTATTTGACGTCTATATGATGTTGGTTTAAGATGTTGCGTTATAGTCACAACACAACTTAAAATCAACCAAATGTCAACATCATTTGATGTCGTTATTAGAGGTCAAGATAACGTTGTCCTTAGAAGCTGGCTAGACATTGAATTTTGGACGCCTGACATCACAACCCAAATCTAACCTAATGTCTGAGGACGTTGTGTGCCTGCTGGTATATTTCTCCTTTTCACATTTTACCATTTTATGTATGTAAAAATTTACAATAATAATAACAAAATTATATAGAAAAAGTTGAACACAGCCGAATTACGTAGACTTTCAAATGAAAAGATATATAAATAGATAACTAAAATCTACAATTTTATTTTATTGATAGTACAAAAACACTGGAGCATTTTTATAATGTTAAAGCAATTTAAGGTCTCTCTAGATTTAGAAACTGACTTGAAATTTCTTAGCTTTGTAGTTTTAATCTTTGTCCTTGTAACTGCTTTGATAATAAGACTTGCAGTGTCAGTCACACATCAGTGAAATAGTGTAAATGGTGTAATGTTACAGTAACCTCTTGTATTGAAAGACTTCAAAGAGCGCCGTCTGCAAGGGATGCTGTTTCGTCTGCACGTCTTTATTTGTTGTTCAGAAAGATTCAGTCATCATCCTAAAAGGCTAAAACAACATTCAAATGCATGTGAGCTGCGAGTCCTACATTCACTTGCAAACCACATCTGTGCATTTACCTAAGCCATGAGGAATTTTTGTTATTTTTACTGTTAGCTATAGATAGCATATATGGAACGCCCCTGAATTCAGATCGGTTCCCGTTCTCTGCTCCATGTGGTTATGTGAACTATGATGCATCATATTTTGTGACTGTGCCTCGTCCTGGTATAATGACAGGATATTTCAGTCGGATCAATGTCAGACTGGGGTCCTGTAGATGTGTTCACTGTCTGCGTCATCGGCTGCTTGTGTATAAAACTCTGCATAGTGACGCCCTATAGCCACAAATATGTAAGAGTGAATTTCAGTAAAGAAAAAAAAAGTAATGTTCCACTCCACTCTGTCTATTTCTGACATATCTAAGAAAAGAAAGCTGTTGTAAGCAGGGACTGTCCTTCTCCTCCTCCTACATGCAGACTGGACTGAAGACTTGTGCACATCTGTGTTCCTCTAGTACTTGTATGGGACCCAAACATATTTTATAACTCTTGAGTTTGGCTCAAATGCCACAATCATGTCTGACTGCCTTTATCGTCCAACTGAAACCAGACTTTAGATTCACGTAAAAACAACTCACCAGCACAACCTGAGAAAACACAAAGCTGAATTGGAGAGAGTAAAAAGGAACATATCGTAGAAATGATAATTTATTTAGATCAAAAGAAAAAAGTCTACTTAAACTTACATTAACTTACAGAACGTACTACACAGGCTACACTGTAATGGGAAAATCGGACATTGCGATATTTTATTTTGCTGCGTTTTATTGTTCGATATGAACACAATTTCGGCAGATGACTTGAATTGATCTATTTGGAATAAAATCATGAACTTAGATTGATTGAAAAATTATTGTAGATGAGTGAATCAAAGAAATTGCAATGAATAAATAAAATAGAGCAAAGTTAAATGTGAAATAAGTAGTCCGATATTCAAGTACAGTAATACAATACAATATTTTGCCCCATGAATAATAGATCATGTTATCAGCGATCTATCACAAGAAAACCATCCACAATATATAATAATATTTGTAAGGAAAAGTGCACCACAAGGTTATAAGTTGTATTTATTTTATTAACAATACATTGTTTCTGAAAAAATTCTGTTTAACGGAGAGCAGATTTTTTCAATACATTTCTAATCATAATAGTTTTAATAACTCATTTCTAATAACTGTTTTATTTTATCTTTGCGATGATGACAGTAAATAATATTTGACTAGATATACACTCCTATACAGCTTAAAGTGACATTTAAAGGCTTAACAAGGTTAATTAGGTTAACTAGGCAGGTTAGAGTAATTAGGCAAGTTAATGTATAACGATGGTTTGTTCTGTAGACTATCGAAAAACATATAGGCTGAAGGGGCTAATAATTTTGGCCTTAAAATTGTTTTTAAAAAATTAAAAGCTGCTTTTATTCGAGCCGGAATAAAACAAATAAGACTTTCTCTAGAAGAAGAAATATTATCAGAAATACTGTGAAAATTTCCTTGCCGGAAATCATTTTGGAAATATTTTAAAAGAAATAAAAAATTGAAAGAAGGGCTAATATTTCGGACTTCAACTGTATGTTCAGTCCGCCATTATGAGAAGCGCCACCTCATGCATATCGATATTTTGTCCAACTTCTATTATTAAAAAATCAAGTGTAATGTAAAATGTAAACACTGTATATTCTTCACTGTTGATCAACAACAATAATTCCAACTCCACATTGCAGATGCTGCAATGTGACTATTGTGAATGCACACATTGCGATATCAATGCCGAAACGATATATTGTGCAGCCCTAATACATACAATTACATAAACATAAGCACATCATGTTATGCAAGGTGTAGGATAAGAAGTGTTTTTAGCACTTCTGCACTCTGATGAAAACATTTGTTTTGCACAGCAGTAACCACAAATCTCAAACACACCTTAGGGTGGAAATAAAATGTCATTTCAAAATCAATGTTGATCTATGCAAAGCAAAATAATTTAGCTGCACCAGGACAAGTTGTTTGAAAAAGCAGCAAACTCATTTTTTAGGTGTGTACTATACTAATACAATAGCATTTTGTAGCATCAAGTACTACTATGCTGTTATATTTTAAAAAGAAGTCTTCTGTTTGTCATGGCATTATTTCTTTGAATTAAACATTATTTTACAGTATAAATATTTGAATAATTTTAAAATAACATGTTTTAATTTTAATATATTTTTAAAAATAATTATTTCATGTGTCTAGATCTTTCTGAATTTTTTCAAAGTTTCTCTTTTGATGCCCAAAAAAAATAGTATCATTAAATCTTTATTAAATAATGTGTTGCTTAATATTTTTATGCTAATTGTTTTGTGTTGTTTTTTAACAAGCAAAAGTAAAAATGTGTCACTTTAGATTTCTTAGTTTCTTGCTTTATTAATAACCTTTACATTTACTGTACATTTCTCTTGAAGTCTTTCAATGCTCCAGTTATCATCAAAATGCCTGTCATCTTTAATAATAACCGTCATAATCGTTTTAATATTTAATAGTTTGGCCATTTATTTTTTTTCTTTACCATCTAATTTTCCTTTTGTCATTTTTTTTTGCATTTTAACTTTATGTTCAGGTAATACAGAAGTCAAAGCAAACAAAAACTTCTTTGAATTGTTCATCAATATTTATGACCTTTCTTCTTATTCATCAAACACATTTCCAACTCTACATTTTAGGAAAATTTTGAAAGGTCCCCAATCTCCCTCAGAGATCTTGTATCTTTTCCATTGTCATGTTTGTAACCATATTTTTCCTCAAACATCCTATATTGGGTGTACACACGTTTCCAATTCAAAGAAATAATCTTTTTGCTTGAAGAATACGTCTAATTTTCCAACTTTAATCAAACACTTTATGGCTTTATTCTTGATTTATATATTCACAATCAGGATTTACTAGAAAGCTTGTCATACATATTTATCAGATGAACATGTGCTTATGAGTCCATTAACAGTGTCTTTCCCATGACTCTCTCCAGCATGCTTCTATGCTTGTTTTAGCTTCACTCGAGGCGAGT